CCTAGTAAACTGCTGTTGGATTATATTACACAACAGCTAAGGGCTCCAGAGCTTTTATTTCTCTTAAAGAATTACAAATGCAGGCTGGGTGTCTCGGTATACATATTTAATCCCAGTACTCGGGAGACAAAAGCAGGTGGATCTCTGTGAGTTTGAGGCCAGCTTGGTCTACATAGCAAGTTTTGGGCCAGCTGGGACTACAGAATGAGATCCTGTCTCAAAAAATAAAGAATCACACATGTGAGGCTTATATATGGCTAAGAAAGAATCAAACCTAGAAACACTCGGGCTATCTTTTAAAAATTATAACTGTACTTGTTTATAAATCTCATTATATAAAAGAGGCAATTTTTTTGAGGTCATACAAAAAATACAGTAAAGAAACTAAGGCTTTTACAACTACCAGGTATTGCTTCCTCCAAGGAGAGCTACAAGGACCACATTTCTTTCTTTTTATAAAAGATTGATATTCTTTTAAATTATGTGTATTCATGTGCACGTGAATGCATGTGCCCCCCAGGAGGCTAGAAGAGGGGGTCAGAGTCCCTGGAACTGGAGTCACAGGTGGCTGTGAGCCACCTGATATGGGTTCTGGGAACCAAACTTCAGTCCTTTGCAGGAGCAGCAAGCTTGCGTTAACTGCTGAGCCATCTCTCCAGCGCTGAGGATCACATTTCTGACCTTCCTATCAGTAATTTGGAAAGTGCACCTCATATGACTAGCTATGGGAATCAGGACAGTAAGGCTCTGACCTGTGACCATTCAACTATTAAAGTTGCTGGACAATCCCAGGATTCCCCCCACCCCTACCCCCAAACACTCTAGGCTGCAAATAGTCACCATTCTGAGACACCCTGGCAGTGTGGTAGTCCCAACAAAATCAAAAATAAAAGCGGAAAGAAAGCTGCGTTGTAATGTACTGAAGTGACGTATAAGCAACAGCCCTGAAAGCCTGCGAAGCCCACAGGGTTTACGCCATCAGACGACCAATGAGAATCCATGAATAAACGAAAGAGGCTCCATGGGAAAAGCGTAGGCAAAGCCGCGTCATTACATCTACCGGGTAACGCTCAGCCAGAGAAATGCTTCATGATTCAGTGGATTTCAGCAGGCAGAGCCTCGCGGTGCTGGACGTCAAAAATACACAGGGCAGCCTGACGCTGCTTTCCAGTGAGTTACCTGTTGCTCTCAGAGCTGCAACAGCTTGTGGGGAATTTAGGAAAAGAGAGATCTTGCCATTTTCCAGAAATCTCATTTGGATTGCAAAACAAAAAAGACAGAGAGGCCCAGTAAGAATGACACAGAGCATGTTGTCTGCAGTTGAACACACACCACTGTGTTCCAAAAATATTCATTTCCTAAAAGAGGCAAGTGAGATAAAATTACTTTGGAGATTCACAACACATTCTTGATGACACATCCCGCATTTCTTTCTTACTTCTCCTTGGATACAGGGGCAACTTGGAAACTAGACCTAATGTTAGGTTTCACTACAGATGTGTGGGCATCACATTTGTTGACCCTCAGCCACTGTTTACCTTTCCCAAACAGTGTCTTTCCAGGCAGGGTTAGAGCACTGTCTCTTGGATAAGTTTATGGCAGAGCAAATGCTGAAGCATCACTTTCAGAGCCACCTTGGGCAGACACCTCACAGGGTGAGCATGGAGGGAAAGGCTGCGTGACTGGGTCGCTACTCACCAGAAAGCCTGGCAGCTTCCCGCAGAGGGGAGGGTTTGCAAACCCAGTTTCCAAATACAGAGAAAAATCTGCGGTTTGAAAACTTGTTATCGAACGTGTTATTTCTTCTTCTAATTGATTCTTTTGTTTCAGGAGGTGCACCCACCTTTATTGAACATAAGCAACAGGTCAACAATTTCTAAGAAATAGGCTATTCAAATATCATGACTGGTAATAATGACCCTCCATGACCATGTGGTTCTGAACCCTTGGTTTCAGAGGGTGTTAACTTGTATAGGGAAAGAGGGAACCTGTCTAGGAAACAGGGCGGGTGGCCTCCCTCATCTATGACAGACTTGTGCCTTTATGATACTAGTGCAAAGCCATCGTAATTCCAGAAGAGGCACTGCTGTTTTATGCATTCTCAGACAGATATGTCTCTTGAAGATAAGTCTGTTATGTGACTCAGTCACTTGCAATTTCCTTTTCATACTGAAGAACCACCTTGGTGGTTCTGATATAAAACTGAGCAACGCCCCACTAGGTACACTAAAAGTCCATGTGGAAAGCAGAACCTTCAACCTAAAACCATCTACTAATCACCTACAGGAAAACAAGAATTTCTCTGAACATCTCTGTGTATAATAAATGCTCTCCCCTAAATGGACAACTACTTTTCAGGACTTTGGCAACTCCATTTTCAGTTACTGGATAGCTGAGGAGTTCGCCCGAGGGAAGCAGAACACAAAGGAGCAGCAGGAGTGTTTGGAGCCGGTCCCTTGCCTTCCACAGGGAAGATAGAAAACACAGACAGTGGTACTTTCAGGTCACGGTGTGGCTGAGACAAGCTTATGGTGTCCTCAGTCAGCTGATGGAGAATCCTACCTTTGTGGAGGTCCTTCTGAGTCAACAACAGTGTTTCAAACTGCATCACAAAATGCAATTCTGTACGTTTTCAACGTATAAGCCTCCAACTGGTTTGCAATACTTTGTAAATTAACAAGATAAGCATGTTATCTTCTTTGACATCAAATTCCAGGATTCAGAGAATGCTCAGCTCCCAAGCAAAATTCCAACTTGGGGGCTGTGAGAGGGACATGCCACTGCAAGTCCTCTGAGGAAGACAGAGGGAGAGGAGGTCTCATGGCAACTACACACAGCCATATACAAGCCACTCCTCAGTTCAGAGCGCTGGGTAAACGGTTCCACCCCAGAAGGAACCCAAAACCCTCTCGGCTCCTCTCTCTCAAACTCCCTGCTGACTGCATGAGGCATATGGGATGTTATGAAATTCCAACTTCCCATGCATGGTCAGAGTTTGGGAGTTCATGGGGGAATGCAGCAAGCACTAGAGAAATTAAAGTAGGTGCTCTGATTGGCACTAGAAACACCTTTAGAAAATGTATTCTTGACAATGATCATTAACATACCAGAAACTAACAAGCTTCAAAGAGCGTGAGCAACCACTTCTAATAGAATGCTAGTTCCTTGCAGCAGGCTCTATTAACTGCATTTAGCATGCAAGGTACTACAACTGAGTTAAACTGAGTCCTAGAGCATGCATCTGTCTCTTGCAGATGTTTCTTTTGTAATGGAGAGAATATTTTTATGGGAAGTGGGTGAGATGAAGATTCTTGTTTTCCAAGCACAGACATCTCTGAGCCAGCTCTACGTGAGACCTAAACATTTTCAGTGAACAACTGTCTAACATCAAAGGTGGAATTAGCTGAAGTTACACCTGTCACCGCTTCTTTTTCAAGTTGTTTCTCCTACAACTACTCATTTTTGTAATTGATTTGTTGTCTATTCATGTTTTATTTTATTTATTATCTTTAATGTATATGTGTGTATCTGTGTGTATGCTATGTATGTGCAGGTGCGTGGGGGAAGCCAGGAGAAGGCTTTGGATCCCCTGGAGCTAGAGCAACAGGTGGTTGTGAGCCTCCTGATGTTGAGTGCTGGGAACCAAACTTTGCTGGTCTTAACCTCTAAGCCATCTCTCTAGCCCCCAATTCATAATTTTAAAATAGGCAAAACTTTTCTACATATAACTCATTATTCAAGAAAAACATATAAAAGCTCAATTGTCGTGCCATCAAGTTGGCACACCTTCAGTTTGAAGGGGTTGCCAGAAGTAACCTCCATGTGATACTAAATTTGTTTTCTCCTAAGTCACTATACACACACACACACACACACACACACACACACACATACACACGTATGTATATGGGGGGGGGGTTGAGATAGGGTCTCCCAGTAGCTCCAGCTGACCTGGAACTCACTATGTAGACGAGGTTAAACTCAGAGGGATCCACCTGCCTCTGTCCCCAACCCTGCACCCGAGTGCTGGGATTAAAGGTGTGTGCCACCACACCAGGCTTGAGGCACTATATTTTTAAAAGCTATCAAATTTATCTAAATTCAAGTTCAGTGCTGGTGAATTCTTTTCATAGCTTTTAGGGAAGTTTTCTGACACTAAATCTTTACTGTAACTCATGATGGGTTATAGCTGCATTTGGCAGATCCTTGCCTTTTGCATGGACCTACAAATCAGTTTTGTGTTCTAAGACCTCAGGAACACTGACAGCGTCTATTGAATACCTATTCAAAACAATGTCTTTAAAATACAAATTATTTTGGAATAGCTCTCCCCAGCTGTAATATGAATCTTAAGGTACTTTAACCCCATATTTTCATTATTAAAAATTACTATTTAAATGCCACACACCTAGCATGCCTCCTGTTTCATGATGAATGTCCTAGGTAGGTTCTGAAAGGGCAGCTTTGTATCCTGACTTGTCTCACAGCACAAGGAAAGAGAGATTTAGAAAATGAAATTATAGGAAAAGGATAACAAAAAACAGTATTGACAAAACCAGAAATTATTCTTAAAGCCTAGCACTATCTAGTGAGCCTTTTTCGCTTTAGAAATTTTGACAAAACAGAAGTTGAGAAAACTTGGTGTGGCACAGTATTTTAATCACAAAACTTCTTGCTTAATGTTTTCCTGTAACTCAGCTTCAAGCAGACAGAAGTGCCTCTGTGGAAGGCTCTCCTGCCTGGTCTGCGCATGCCCATACTGGTCTCAGGTGGTCCCTCCCTTGAACTCATGCATTTGCACATCTACTGTCTGTGACTGTCCTCCTGTTCTATAAAACAGCAGTGTTAGTAGTCAGGGTTAGTTTCTATTTTATTTTTCATTCAGAATGGATGTGGAACTTACTGGCATACCTAGGCTGCAGCCCCATGCAAGCAAGCAAAAAGCAAAATATTGAAAATGGAAGATAAGGAGAAACTGGCTAGCAGGCAGCTAAACTCACCCTTTTGTACAGCCTATGGTCCACCAGGGGGCTTTAGACAGTAAAACAACACCAGAGAGCTATTAGCACATGAGGGTCACAACAGAAATCTTATCAACAGCTTTATGTCAACCAAAAAGAATAGCAGGTGGTTTCTTTCATAGGAGAAGGAGAGTGATACAGGGACGTGAAAAGAGCAGGCAGAAAATCCCCCCCCGCCCGCTTAGTTTTAAGCCTTGGAAACCCTTGAGACCATATGACAAGACACGGGATGCCTGCAGGTCCTGAGGCCACTGTCTACCTACCTTGTTGAGAGGGTGCCATGGAGTCTTCTAGTTAATACAGACTAATGCTTCTAAGAGACAATATTACTAAATAAAACAGAGTGGCTTGCACACGTCCCAGGGAATTATGGGAGTTTAAATACAGTCCAGGATAGAGATCCAGCACTTCTTCAGGTCCTGGACAGAATATTGTTGAGTAAATATACAAGAATGGGAAGTGAATGTTGACCTTACATGGTCATGATGCAAAGGTTCCTGCAATTTTCCCTGCGCATCCTCCTAACTTCAGAACTTTAAGAGGTCAACAAAGATGAGATAGCAGACAGCTCCCACAACCCGATGCTCTCTTCACCAAGACCTCCCTGGCAGCCTCACTGTGAGGTTGGGATGGTTAAAATATAAATTCAAGAATGGCAAGATCTTCAGGAAATCCTTCTCAACTAGCTTAATGTAAGCATGGAAGGATTCCTCTGTTGCACCTATTTTAGGAAGTAGTCTTTCATGAACCTGTTTTAAGTATCTTATTCTCTCAACTCATTCACTGGAAACACAGGACAAGGCCTTGGCAAAAATAAATAATAAAAGAAAAGTAAGTATAGGATTTTAGGTAACTTTTCATTTACATTACACATTTGAACTTTAAGGGTAAGAGGAAACACGGGAAGGCACAGTATAATTTAACCCGTGTATGCGTTAGTTCATTGGAAGTGGCCTCAACAGCAACTTCAGGGTAATTTCTTGAAAATAAAATCTGCCTGTAACCAGTCTCATAGGGTCAAAGTGGCAATTCTACTCTGTGTGGTCTAAGTGTACTAGTCTCTGTGCTGAACAGTGTTTTGGGCTCTCTCATTTTGAAGGCAAAAGAAAGGGAGGAAGGGACTGTGAACGCACGAGAGTGTAAGAAAAAGGCCTAGGGAGTTCATTGTATTCATACCACATGAAGTTAACTCAGCGTGCTGCCAGGTTATAGAACCCCACTGCTGACTGTATGGCAATGGCTCAGCAGTACAGAAAGGACCAGACAGGCAGGATCAATTTCATTATGTTCATGTAGACCCTGTAGTTTTGTTTCCACTTCCTACCAGGACCTCAGTCAGGTTATTCATACTGACTGGTACCTCGTTAGCTAGCTATGAGGGGGGCTGAGGGAGACCCTACCTCATAGGAGAGAGCATCTGGGAGTGTACCCGAGTTCCCTTACCATGTTCAGGTTCGAAAACGCCCAGCTTCCTAACAATAACTCCTTAAGATCATCATTACTGTCCTTGGCGTGGCTGTGGGAGGTTCCTGCTCCAGTCACATAGACATGCCCTTGTGCTGACACACTAGGCATGTCAGTACCCAGTTAAACTCTGTCTCAAAGGCAAAGTATTTTCAATACTTGTCAACTTAGAATTTTTTTTTTTTTTTTTTTTTTTTTTTTTGGTCTTTTTTGAGACAAGGTCTCCCTGTAGCCCCAGCTGTCCTGGAACTCACTATATAGACCAGGCTGGCCTTGAACTCACAGAGATCCACCTGCCTCTGCCTCCCAAGTGCTGGGATTAAAGGCGTGCGCCACCACGCCCGGCCTAATTCAGATGGTTTTAAGAGTTAGAAAATCTAGACTGACTAGGGTGTGGTTAGGCCGGAAGGAGTGGGGCAGCTTGAGTCTTCTGCAGCTCTCAACCGCGAGGCTTCTGATACACGGAGATCAACACAACCTCAGGGAAAGTGGCCTCAGTGCAGCTACAATGGCCACTGCTACGGACTCTGGATTGTTTAGCTACAGAGTTTAGAAAGCAAGACACTTCTCACCAGCTCCCGGAAGTCTAAGAACTAGGCTTCGTGAAGAAAGCTCCCGTTTGAGGAAACAGAGCGGCTGCTCTGGCTTAGCCCAGGTGAAGATGCTGCATCCCTGGGGACCGCCAGGCCCTCAGGAGCCACTGGCCGCAGTTGAAAATGCTGCGTCCATTCAGCTACCTGTCTTCCTGCACAGTTCCTTGCAGCCATTTTCTGCTGACCAGGCTGGAATGGAAGTGCTAGCTCCTTCCCATCCAGCAGAGGGCACCAGCTACTTAGAGGAGACTCCACATTGGGTACACTAGACGGCATCGAATGGTTTGCTTTCCTTGAGCTGCCATTTGGATGGATGTTAGCACAGTAAGAGTGCAGAGTCAAGACCGTCATGCAAAGTGTCATACAGATGTTAGATTGAAGAGGAGTTTGAATGAAAAGCTAGTCCAAATAAATTACACTCACTCCCAAATCAAAACAGGAAAACACTGGTGTGAATCTCCAAGGCTGAACACACACTCTCTCAAACCATTTCCGGAGCTCCAGCCCAAGCGAATTAGTGCCTAACAAGTCCTATGATCCTGTGTGAGGTGGGGTGCCCTCCCTGATCTTTGCTGATGGTTATTAGCATTATGTAGAGCCAGTGGATGGTTAGGAAGGTCAGGGCTGTCTTGTTCTCCAGGAGTAAAATGAACAGATGAGAATTAGTGTACCTGTGACGACAGCGACGTAGAAACCTCATTATTTTTCGAGCAGCTTGGTCCTGCTTTTTGGTTAGCAAACTGCTCCTGAAAAAGTCAGAGGATTATCATCACAAGAAGGGTTCCATAAAGCTTTTGATACAAACACTGAGAACTGGTCTGGTCTGTGGTGGGAGGGGACTTTTAGTTCAAAGCACATGGTGCTGAGAATGGCCTGGGAGCTGTTGAACCCTCAAACTCACTCTGTCGCCTAGGATTTTGAACTTGATTCTTCTGCCTCCATCTCTCAGGTGTTGGGGTTACAGGCACTATCCACCACACCTGGTGTGTAAAGTCCTTTGTGCATGCTAGACCAGCACTCTAACAACTGAGCTACTGCCTTGTCCCGAGTTTTAAGGAGACACTATAAAGGACCCTCAATGAGCTTTTACAACTCCTTTTTTGTTTGTTTTTGGAAAGACAGGCTCACTGCGCAGCCCAGCCTGGCCTCTAACTCATGACTCCCATGACTCAGCCTCCAGAGAGCTGGGTTTACAGGGCTGTGGCACCATACCTGGCTCTTTTACAATTCCGCATGAGCCACTCTGTGCAAAGGCCTCTGTCATTAGCCAGACCTCGTTAATTTAGACGTTAATCTGCCTGACTCTGATGCTCTCCTTGGGCTATTTTAATCATTTCAATCTGCTGCAAGTTCTTCTCATACCCCCGGAACAACTGAGCCCTAAGTACTCTGCCCAGGTAATTGAGCAGTACTTCCACAGTTGAGAACACTGTGCACAGCGACACCTCTTTAAGTACAAACTGGTTTGTACTGCAATGGGCCAGCGACATCAAAAGTGACCCAGTGTAGGGTAGAGAAGACTCCCAATGGACAGCGGCAGAGGTAATGCTTGACAGGGCCACAACACCAGGACAAGGAGTGTGCTGAGGAGAAAGGCACGGCCAAGCCTTGGGCTGGCACAGGCTTGGTGTGCACCGTGTGGCTCTCCTGAGCAGGTCCTTCCCATGCCCCGACAGCTGGTGGCCCACCTGAGCTTCTGCTGGACGATGACGGCTGTCCGGCGGGCCGGCCGTCTCTTGCCACACTTCTTGTAACTCCGGTAGAAGTTCTGAATCAGAACTGCGGCACGCCGGCTCTGCTGGAACCTTTTCTGTTCATAGTAACTTCGGAATTTGCTCTGGATGAGGATGGCCGCCTGGGTCATCTTTTTATAAAGTGCATACTGCAGGGGAAACAGGAGGAGCAGGACAGTAACAACAGGAGCCACAACACCGTGTCCTGAGACTCTGGAGGTAGGACAAGCCCCTTCTTCCCTTTCCCATCCAGATCTCTGCTGGGGGTTAACCACATCAGGTCGACAGGAATCTCTCACCTACCTTTCCAGAATGGAAAGACCGTGGCCCAACTGCAGGCAACACAGTGCTCTGCAGTGCTTTTATCCCAAGACATCAACACACTGCCTGTCTTTAAGTACATATTTTAAGATGAGAATTGACCATTGAATTGCAACATTTTAAACCTTTTTACATCAACATCTGATTTCTAACTAATTTGTTCCATTTCACAAATTTCTGATGGAGTTACAAGGTCCCAAATATGAGGCTTATCATGAAACGCTGACACCTTTAAGCCATTTTACCCTGAGACAGATTAACACTCATCAGACCCACAAGGTGGCCATGCACGAAACCCTGGAAGGCTGCCAGAGTTGGGGCCTGGTCAGGAGCCAATATCCTCTACCTAGCCTGCTCCAGAGCTACAGAAGTGACACGGGAAAACACAGGAGCTGGGCTCCTCTCCAAAGTCTGCCTCAAGGCCCTAAAAATGGAGCTCGCCACATTTGAAAATGCCATGAATTTCTCCTGCAGAAGTGGATTTCTCATGCACAAGTGGCATGGCACCCTTGGCATAAGAAGACCATTTACCATCGTCAGGGAAAACGGTGCTCAGAAACCCTGTATATGCCTAACTGTATCCCTAGACATAGGACACAGGATGAAGGAAGGAAACTGACTTCTCAGGATGTTCAATAGGACCTTCCTGCAATAAATCTTTGGTCTCCACTGGCCTGCTTTACATTCATTTCCATTGGCCCAAAAGTCTTTTGAGGGTAAGAGCACTGTATCCTACAGAGCCTCTGTAGGTCTCGGCACTGTGGCCTGTAGACAGTCCAGTCTGTGGGGCCTCTGTGAAGCCCATCGTGGAGATGAGATACTTGCTTAGTGGTCACTAGGCTCAAAGTCATTGGCTAGGATGAAATGACCCTTGCCAAGAATCTGTCCAATTATTATTAATGTCAAAACCCACTCCACCAGAATAACCACAGGCCCCAGGGGATGGATGCGGTGTGGCTGGGTGGCCTGGCAGCGAGAGAATGTGTGTTTCATGACTGTGGCATCTTAATGACCCCTCCTCATAGCAGTGATGGGTGTGAAGTTTGGGACTCTGGTGGAATGGTTTGTGAGAGGGCTTGGTGCATCATTACCTTCAAGGCTATCCATGTCAGCTTAGGGAGAAACAGAAAATACAAGATTAATGTTAGATTACTAAATAGATGAAGTTAAAAACCAGAACCAATAAAGCTCCCGACCAAAACTAAAACCAGGCAACCTGGCTATGTTAATGCCGTCCACCTTCCAAAATATCAGCCTCACAGCTGTCACTATTTCCAAAGGTAATGCTGTCCATCTTCCTTAGTTAGAAAGCACTTACTATTACTTCTAGAAAGCAGAAAACACTTGGTAGGGTTTTTGTTTTTATTTTTTGTTTTTCTAATAAATAAATACATGTTGTCATCACAGACTTGAAACCTCAATTCTGTGGGTGATGTTATCTAGTGCTAACATAAAGCCTGTTCTCCAATCAGAGGCCAGTCCAGGTTCCGGCCATACACATCTAGGGATTGTGGTGTCAGCGTTTGCACAATAAGCCTTCAGTGTCTGGGATCATGAACTCAACTGGCTGGAGCTGGAGACCTTCCTTCCTGCCCATGGACAGAGGTGAAAGGAGAAACTTGAGAAAATGGTAGTCATACTGGAAACCGAGGCCCGTCTCAGAATACAAGAGCAGAACTCCAAATTTCTATGCAATTATCCTACATCTTAGCATTGCCTATTCCTTAAGTAAAAATGTAAAACCCTAAATCCCAAGGAAATAAAATTGTAAACTCTTTCTAGAACTGGCAGGAATAGTATTTCTTTTCTACAGGGTCTTACTAAAAGTTCAGGGTGGCTCTGAACTTGTAATCCTCCTGTTTCAGTCTCTGGATGCTGGGATTAGAGGCCTGTGCCACCGTACCCAGTAACAGGATTGAATTTTAACAAGTATCTAGTCAAAACTCAGTAAGGGAATTTTCAATATTCTATAACTACTGTGATATTTGTAGTCTAATATTTGCTTAATTTTTCTGAGATTCAGCTTCCTCCTCTGTAAAATGGAAATATTTGTTTACTCAGAATAGCTCTGAGCAGGTAGCACAGTGCCAGGAAGACCCAGGACACCTCGCCCCTCTGCACTTAGGCTACCCTGAAGAGTGCCCATCATCTTTGTGGAGGAGGCCCAGGGTATTATTCTTGCCCCTGCTAACTAAAGCTCATTTGCAAATGGCTTTGTCTCCTTTACCTCTGCTTTTTAATCAAGGCAGTTCAAATCAGGACTCTGCTAACAGGAACTGGATGTAGTGTTCTTTAGCCAAATTGCAGCCAGAGTCACCCATGGTCTGGGCTGCTGGGCAAGTGCCTTTTCCTTTTATGACACAGAACTGAGGTTACCTGTTTGTATTTTCTGTAACAACGCTGAATGACGGCGGCAGCCACCTCCTGCTGTTCCCGCAAAGGTCGGCCCTTCAGGGTAAAGTGGGGGTAGGGGATGAGTAATGACAGACAGAACGTCAGGCCTGTCAAAGTGCTTAAAACTTAACAGAACCATTACTAGGTAACACAACTTTCACGGAACTAAAATCCCAGGCTTACCCAGATGCATTCAGAATGATAAATTAAATGAAGAAAAATGAATTTACAGAATAAATAAACTATTTTTGTTTTTCAAACTAAGCCATGTTTGGATGTTAGGAGGCCTAAAAATACTCATTTTACAAGTTTTTAATGAATTAGGTATTGCAATCTTTGTCTTACAAGAAGATTCCAACTGTCATTTCTAAGATAATCCAATCATTTTACTTTTTTTTACATTTCTGGGAGGAGTGGTCAGGTTCTTTTAAAAATGTGTGGAGGCTTCCCTAGAGAGTTCCCAGAGTTCCCAAGCTGCCTAAAGTAGGTCCCCAGATCCTGCTTTCAACAGTAAATTCCTTGTGGCTGAGGGGCCAACTTTGGGTGTTAGTAAAATATTTATCACTATGGAAACTAAGGTGAAATGATAACGGCCCCACTACCACCTGGTTTTATTTTATTAGAGCTCCTGAAAGTTAATATGATGATAATACAATAGAGGACATAACATCCTCCAATGAAAACCCTACACAACATAGGACAAATGAGCTGGCACATGCCTTATCTGGACTGACCCGGGCTTATAGCTCCCCTCCCTGACCTCATTGAGAATATCTAGATAGCAGGATGCTCCTATTTTACCTTGTATTTCCGGAAAGCTGTCTGGACAAGCCTGGCAGCTTCATAGAGCTCTCTCTGCTCGTGGTCAGAGAGAGTGAGCTGAGCAAACTCGTTCTCCACCTTCTCACTGGTGGAGGCGCTCAGGAATTCTGACCAGTCTGCCGCTGAGGGAAGATTGGGTTTCTCGAAAGCCATTTCACTGACGGGAGAGCCTACGGGGCTCAGGCTGGTATTAGAAGATGGGGTTAGAGGCTCAGTATAAGCGCTTCTGAAACAAGAGAAGAAGTGACAAGATGGTCACAAGCTGACCCGCACAGTCCTGAAGCCGCTGTGGGCATGCAAGATGCCTTCATTCTTTTTAAAAAAATTTTTTTTGGATTTAATAATTACATATATTTTGATCATATTGAGACCCTCTCCCCTATGTATATCCCTCCTTAATACCCCCTACTTGATTTCATGCAGCAAACACACATACACACACACGCCTCGAGTCAAATTTGTGGCCCCAGTTACCCTTCAATGTAGGTCCATTAACTGTTCTCTCTCTCCTCTCTCTCCCTCTCCCTCCTCCCCCTCCCCCTCCCTCTCCCCCTCCCTCCCAAGTTTGTGTCCCCAAACATCCTTTGATGTGAATCCATCCACTGGAGCCGGGTTGACCTATCTAGGGTTGTCATATCCTTAAGGAAAACTGACTCTCCCCCTCCCAGCAGCTATCGGTTGCCAGTAGCTCCTCAGCTAAGGTCGGGCTTCTTCCCCACCTCCCCACTTCGAGGCTGGGATTCTGTCTGGCTTCAGCTTATGTGGGTCTGTGTGCGCTGTCACCAGTGCTGTGAGTTCCTACGAGTGACTTCCCAGCTGTCTGGAAAACTGTTTCCTTGTGGTCAGCCACCACCTCTGGATCTTAACATCTTTCTGCTCCTTCCACACCAGTCCCTGAGCCTCAGGAGTCAGAGGTTTGACACAGGTGTCCTGCTCAGGGAGAGGCACTCAGAATCCCTTTGTTCTGTTGGCAAGTTGCTGAACATAGTACTTTGGTCGTACTTCAGTTAAATTCCTACTGAACATCTATTATGAATTTAGCCCTGTGCTAAATACTAAACCCACTAAGGATACTACCCTGCCTCTAGGAAACTTCAGTAGGACCCCATTATAAGATGGTATTTTATATACACTGATGTAGGAAAAACATCCCAAAGAGGTGAGGACAGAGCCAGGCTTTGCAAATAGCAAAGGAATGCATTCTAATGCTGTCTTCCTTCCTTGGGACTCTCTCTTCGTACAGACTCATCCAGTACACTTGACCTTCCTGCCTCCAGATAAATCCAGGAGTCTATCTTAGGAAGACACCCCCTGCCCCACTGACCCAGAATCTTCCCCACCTGATCTGGGTAGCACTGGGTAGACGGTCTGCATCAGCGAGGTAACTGGCCAACCAGTTCATGGTACTGCTAACCACAGCAGGATCTGTCCTGTCCAAGGCCGTGGATTCCATGGGCACAAAGTTCTCCTGCTTGATTCGATCGGGTGTGGCCTCGATGATGTGTTCTGCCAAGGTCATCATGTTTACCTAGAACCAGAAGTCCAGAGTGCCCAGCTCAGAAAGAACCTTGGATAGAATGTTGCCGGGGCAGGGAAGGGGGAGACTGAAGGTTTACACCTCAATCCCACGCACTCAAAGAGCATTTAAGGTCTGTTGTTTTTTTTAAAAAAAATTATGTATATGAGGGGGTTGGAAATCTGTGCATGTAAGTGCAGGTGCCTGTGGAGGCCAGAGTCATCAGAACCTCCTGGACCTGGAGTTATAGGTGGTTATGAGCCTCCGGAAGTAGGTACTGTGAGGTGAACTCAGGTCCTGTGGAAGAGGAGTATGTGCTCTTAACCACTCAGCTGTCTGTGTAGCCTAGCTCAAACAGCATTTTAAGGTTATTATGTGATTCATCCTGAGACCTGATTATCTCCAAATTGCCAACTCTCAGCAGCACAACCATCCAAGCTAGGGCCTCATATCTGGGCGGTTAATAAATAAAATATTAAAAAAACATTTTGCAGGGCTGGAGAGATGGCTCAGTGAACAGCACTGGCTGCTATTGCAGAGGATCCGAGTTCAGTTCCCAGCACCCACATGGTGGCTAACAACTTCCTGAAACTCCAGTTCCAGGGGATCCAATACCCTCTTCTGACCTTTACAGACATCACATTCACATAGTACACTTACAAACATGCATACAAAACATTCATACATATAAAATAACACTAAATTAAAAAATTGCATGTATTTATGTGTGTTTGGATGTGTGTGTGCATGTGTGGAGGTCAAAGGACAACTTGTACGAGTTGATCATTTCCTTCCATCATGTGGTTCCGGGAACAGAACTCAGGTTGTCAGGCTTGGCAGCAAGTACCTTCATCTGCTGAGTCATCTTGTTGGCCCTAAGATGTCAATCATTTTTTGAAAAATATATTTATTTTTAATCCAGATTTGGTGGTACCTTTAATCCTAGGACTCAGGAGGCTGAGGCAGGCGGTTCTCTGTGGGCCAGCCTGGTCTACATAGCAAGTTTCAGGCCAGCTGGCGCTACAGGGAGACTGTGTCTCAAAAAAAAAAAAAAATCAATGAAACAAAACAGATTTATTTTTATTTTTAATTAGGTGTATATGTCTGGGGTGGGTTATATGTGCATGTGAGTGTAGGTACTGTGGAATCCAGAATAGAATCTTGGATCCTTTTGCGCTGGAGTTACAGGTGGTTATGAGTGGCCCAGCATGGGTTCAGAGAACTGAACTTGGGTCCTCTGTGGGAGCAGTACTCACTCTTAACCACTGAGCCATCTCTCCAGCCCCCAAGATACAATCTTACTGTGAAACTACTGATGGCCTCATAAGTATTCAACCTCTTCCCATGTTCCTAATCTGGGGAACTCAAGTCCCAGAGGCAGCAGTAAAACACTGCACCCCAGGGGTCATATCAGGACTGCTTAGGTTAGTTATACTTATCTTCTTCAGGACCTCCCACCTTCCCTTGTACTTGGGGGTCAGTTTATGAGCCCCTTCTGGGCAGTGGGACCACACAGAGGGAGACCCTGGGCAGAGCCTCTGCTCGCTTGATACTAAGGCATCAGCGTACCTGGCACATCCCCTTCCTCTCTTCTTCCTGCCTCGACCACAGACAACCCTGGGTAGCTATCACCACAAAGCATGCGTTATGTTGCTACATGCATGAAGAAAGCCACAAAGGACTGAAATGTGGCAAAATAAAAAACTATCCGGGACCCTGAACATCACTGAGCAACTGGGCTTTTAGGCTTCCTGTCATGTGGGAAAACAAAACAAAGAAAACCTTTTCAAAATGAGAGCAATGCAGTCAGAATGCATCCTAACAGATTTAACTAGGAATCCTTAAAGCTAATCTTGATAAACACCCTATTCTAAAATCAGGGTTTAGGGACCTGGGGAGAGGACTCGGTCTGTAGAGTGCTTGTCATGTAAGTATGAGGATATGAATTCAATCCCTAATACCCAGGTAGACAAGCCAAGCACGGCAGCACACGCCTATAATCTCAGCACTGTAGAGGCAGAGACAGGAGCATTCCTAGGGCTGACTGGCCAGTCACTATTCAAATAGGTGAGCTCCAAGTCTAGCCTCAAAAGATAAGGTGGAGAAGTGACTAAGGAAAACAACCAACATCAACCTCTGGCCTCCGTGCACACGTGGCACATGTGTACATACACACATACAAAAAATGAGGATTAGAGACATAGTCTCATTTTTAAAAATTCTTTGCACACTTAAAGGAATCAAAATACAGCAGTTGAGGTTTTCAACAGATATTTCTGCCTCAGTGAACTGAGAATGTTCTGAAATAAGTTTCATTCACAAAGAGTCAAAATGCTGATCTTGCAGCATAAATGCACCTCAGAAACATTGCTGTGCTTTTAAAAAAAAGATTTTATTTTAATATGTGTGTGTGTGTCCGTGTGTGTGTGCGTGTCCGTGTGTGCAGGTGCCTGTGGAAGTCAGAGGTCTCAGGTGCCCTGGAGTTGGAGTTACAGGTGGTCTACCAAATGTGGACCACCGAACTTGGGTCCTCTACAAGTAGTACCTGCTCTCAACTGCTGAGTCACCTCTCCAGCCCCTATGGTTTGAATCTGAACTGTCCCCTGCAAGCTCAGGTTTTGAACACTGCCCCTTAGTATATGGAGTGATTGGGGAGGCTGTTGGACTTTTGTAGGAGTTGGGGCCCTGCTGGATGCAAGGTTGGGACGGCTTGTGTTGTCAACCTGACAGACCTGGAATCACCGGGAATCTGGGTGTCTGTGAGGATTATCTTGATTACATTAACTGACATGAGAAGTCCCATCCTGACTGTGGAGCAGGACCTGGGCTTGGGGGAGCTGGGCTGGGGATCCTGGACTGTATGAAATGGAGAAAGCACTGAGAGAGTGTTCACTGCTCCATTTCCTTACTGTGGACTCAACGTGACCAGCTGCTTCAGCTCCTGGTGCGTTGACTTCTGCACCATGATGGACTATCTTGAACTATGAGCTAAAATAAACCTTTCCTTCCTGAAGTGGCTTTTGTCAGAGTATTTTATCACAGCGACAGGAAAAAAAATCCAAGATACAGGTCATTTCCCAGCAGGCCTTTGAAGGTAGGGCTGAGCCCCCGGTTTCTAGGCCCACTCCGCCTCCTGGTCGACCTTGAAACCCTCTCACTTCCATAAACTCTGCCCTTTAGTGGTTTCTGTCAGGTATTTTAGTCACAGTGAGACAAAAAGTAACTATTACACTGAAAGACACCACATCCCAGTTAAGGTGAAACTGAAAAGGAGCAAAAATCTCAGGGGATCAAATGGGATCTGGGGTGGGTGGAGCAGAGACTGACTGCAAACAGATCGCAGAGCTTGTGGGGGAGGCAGATGTCTTCTAAGACCACTGTGACTACAGTACAGTTATGTAAAACAGGACGAAACTGGATCAAACTGGATGAAAATCAGACCTCCATGGAGCTATTTAAAATGTTGATCTTGGATAATTTTTCAAATTTTCATCAAAGAGCAAGAATCAGCTCTTACAGTAGAAATAAAAGGAGGAAATGAAAGAAACGTGTAGCTTTCTTTACTGGCCCCCTTGAGTCATAACTCAAACAGGAGGAAGACCTGCCTTTATTCTGTAACAATAACTGATTGGTTTGTTGTTTTTTTTTTTTTTTTTTTTTTTTTTCCCCTTTCGTGGTTATTGGCTGGGTTCCTGCTATTTCCCAGGCTGGTCTCCAACTCATAAAAATCAGCAGGAATTCTTGCCTCAGTTTCCCAAGTAGTTAGGATGACAGGTATGCACCACCACATCTGGCTTACTAATGTATTAGAACAAAGTGGAATTTCTGAAGCCTGAAGGTTATCTCTTTGTAGCCATTGCCCCAAATCCTTTCCTTTTTTTAAGGTAGACTCTTACTGATCCGGAGCTCACTGATTCAGCCAGACTGGTTTGCCAGTGATCCCAGGGATCCTCCTGTCTCTGCCTCCACAGAGCTGGGGTTACAGAAGTGTCACCATGTTTGACATTTAGAAAAGTATTTATTTATTTATTAATTAATTAATTTATTTATTTATGAGTGGTTTTGCCTGCATGCACCTATGTGCAATGCCCATGGTAACCAGAAGAGGGCATCAGATCCCCCTGGAACTGGAGTTGCACATGGTTGTTAGCTACCATGTGGGTGTTGGGAACTGACCCAGGTCCTCTGCAAGCTTAACCGCTGAGCTATCTCTCCAGGCCCCCGTGCTTGCCATTTTTACGAGGGTTCTGAGGGTTTCGCTCATGGTCTCCACAGCAAGCCCTCTGCTGACTGGGCTGCCCCAGCCCAGCCTCACTCAGCCCTTCATGATCCTTCTATCTTTTCCCTTCAGCTGTCTCTTACAAGAAGCACATACTTTACATTTTAAACCAAATCTAGGTATCTGACTTTTATTTTTTGGAAATTTATTTTATTATTTTTAAATTATGGGGGGGGTGTTGTGCATATGTGTGCAGGCACATAGAGGACGGAGGAGGGTGTCAGATCCCCTGGAGCTACAGGCAGTTGTGAGTCACCCAAGGTGAGTGCTAGGAACAGAACTCAGATCCTCTGGAAGAGCAACAAGTGCTCTTAACTGCTGAGCCTTATCTCCAGCCACAGAATCTTAGTACAACAGAATTATCACTTACCATAAGGTGCACATGTCACATTTGAAAAAATCAATATCATATTCCAATCTGTTTGTTATTATTGTTGTTTTTCCTTCCTTATCATCCTTGAACTTTTCCCAAAAGGGCCACATTTTCTTTTTCTGTAATGCCTTGGAAATTCTTCAGCATATGTTTAGAATACCTCTGAACAAACACGTTTTATCCTGCACTTTTCTACCCATATCATGAGTGAAACAAAATTTATGATCCCCTCTGAGCAAGAGAGCTGTGTAACACACTTTGGCTGTCTTTACTTCCTTACGACCCTGATTTTCTTAAAGTAATCTAGATTTTCAGTTTTAGATTAGGTATTATTATTCTTCCATTTAAAGAGTCTTTCTGGAACTGGAGAGATGGCTCGGCGGTTATGAACACTGGCTGCTCTTGCAGAGGACCTGGGTTCAAATCCCAGCACCCATATGGTGACTAATGACTGTCCATAACTCCAGTTCTAGGCGATCCAATGCCTTCTTCTGACCTCTGCAGGCACTGCACGACACGGGTGTACTTAACATACATGCAGGCAATACACTCATACACATAAAATTAATAGTGTGAAAAAATACTCTTTTAATGGATGGTATCTTGTCACAGCTGTGTGCTCCTCATTCAGCAAAACATAGTGTCAGCTCTGACATCTGGAATTTGTTCATTGTCAACAGGACGGGATCCAGAATCGCCACAGAAACACACTTGGGTGTGTCTCTGAGAGTTTTCAGAAAGGTTCAGCAGACAGAGGAGACCCACTCTGAATGTGGGCAGCACCACTGCATCAACTGGAGTCCAAAGCGAGCTGAGCACCAGCGTTCATCTCCCTCTGCTCCCTGACTGCAGATGCAACGTGGCCCTCTGCCTGAGGCTCCTGCTGCCTGTGCCTCCCCAGCCCCAACGCTGTGCATCTCAAACCACAAGGCCAACCAATCTTCCTTTCTTAAGTTGATTTGTCAGGTGTTTTGTCATTACGGCAACTAGGAAAGTCACTAATACAGGTTCCATCAGGAACCAGGGGTGTGGCCAGGTGGAGTCTAGCCAGCCACCTGTGTGTAAACAGAGGGTTTTTAAATAATATTTTATTTATTATTTTTAATTTATGTGTATGTGTATTGCCTTCATGTATGTAAGTGCACCCATGTTGTGCAATGCCCGTGGGAGGTCAGAAGAGGGTGTCGGATCCCCTGGAACTGGGGTTTACAGATGGTTGTTAGCCACCATGTGGGTGCTAGGAATTAAACCTGGGTTTTCCGCAAGGGCAGCCAGCACTTTTAACCACACAGCCACCTCTCGAGCCCTGTAAACAGTTTTATCAGAATGCAGTCAAATCAATCCTTTAATATTAACTAAGGCTGCTTTGGTGCATAGGGCAGATTAACAGGTGCAATCAAGTCTGCATGACCAACAAAGCCCAAATTTATTCACTATCTGGCTCTTAACAAGAAAAAAAAATCCTAGCCATTTGTCTAAAACATTATTTGACTTAGGCTGGACATGGTAGGGCATACCTATAATCCCAGCTACTTGGGAGCCTGAGACAGGAGGACTGTAAATTCGAGGTCAGCCTGGGCAACTTAATGAGACCATGTCTCAAAGTAAAATTTAATAAAGGGCTGAGGATTGTGCTCAGTGGTAGAGCATTCACATAACTTGAGAAGCCAAAACAAAATTTTTGATTTAACTTGGCAGGCAGCCCACTGACTACATGGTAGATCTGTAGTGGGGGGGGGTCTCCCAACCACTAGAAATGGGGGCACACTGTATGGCATTTCTCGGAATAGCAGAGAGGAGGCAGGCCTGCTCCCTGGGATACGGGGTCCTGCCCAAGGCCCTCCCATCCCGTGTCACCCTTCAGGCTTGGGCGCCCTGCAGAATTCCCAGCGGGAAACTTTCTACTTTTTGTATTTGTCTTGGGTTGCATCAACAGGATGTTGGAAAGAGAGGAAGTCCTTCCCATGTTCCCAGGTTGCCCCTTTCGACTGTGATTTGAATCGATGGAATTTGTCTAATAGCTTGACGTCACATTTAGTTTCTAACAAGTTTCATGCCCTAGAAAGACTGTGTTTTCTGCATTTATTACGAGGGCAGAAAATTATTAACTTTAGATATATTTCACTGCATGCCATAAGAGCCTCATACCATAGATGCCATTCAAAATGGCTGGGCTAAGGAAGTGTCAGTCAAAGTCACTTAGATAATCCAAATCCACAGACCTCCTTGCTATATACCTTTAGGGCCTTGACTCTTTTGTAACCAGAACTTAAAACAGTGAAGCTGTCATACAAGGAGGAAGCAGATTTATTAGAGGGTCACAGGTTCTGAAAGGCCTGGTGCCCAGAGGGAAGGCTTTGCTGAGCCCAGGGTCCCTGCCTTCAGCCCTAGTCACAACAGGAAAATGTGGTTCAAAGAAAGAAGATATTCAACCTTCTCATGAGCATGACCAGACTTCTAATCCCCCGTTTGGAGGGGATTACATGACTGTTAGAAGTAAACCATACAATTCACAGCCACTGTGGGGTTCCAGCCTACCTGATCAGTCTTACCTGAATGTCATCCATGGGCTGGGAGCATTCCTCATTCTCGGCACTATTTCGGTAGGCCCCCATCTCTGTATTCACCACCTCTCTGTTAGCCATCATCAGGACACTCATAGGCTCCCGCGGACGCACCTGTGAGGGAGCCGCGTCCTTTCCTACACTGGTCCCCTTCGGATTTCCAGTCACCTGTACTGTAGACACACCAATGTAAAGATCTTTGGAATTCCACTTTACTACAGGCTGAGATCCAGAGGCTTGGAATGCTGCAGTCTCTGGAGTGGGAGGGGAGGTTTCCCGGCTGTAGTCCCTCACTCCTTCACTGGGGCTGATTGTCTCAGGGACAGACTGCTTAGAACTAGGGCTGTGCTTCCTGATATTTGGCTGTTCCAGACTCAGTGCAGTGGGAAGCAGCTTCTCCTGCCTTGCCTGGAAGTACTCAGGGTTCAATTTATGCTTTTTGGGAGCCGGATAATCTTTGTGGCTCTCACTGCTGTAGTAATTAGAGGGTTCAGACCGAGGTCTTCTCAGCTCTGAAAAGTACAGTAGAAAGGACAGTCAGGACAGGCTTTTAAGTAGGAATCCTCAAGAATTAACACTTTATGCCTGGGAGATAAAAAGTGCAAAGCTGGAACTCAAGACGTGTTCCTAAGGCGTAAATGGTCCCCAGCAGCATATATAGTATTCAGATTATCTTTTTTCTACTTTCCATACCGGGATGGGGCACTAGCCACTTTTAAAGGACAATCAGAAACATTAAAGTAACCCCCCGCCAAGCCTTAAACGTATGTGAATGTCCTATGGGTTTTTCTGAGGGAATCGCACAAAGCAAATGGGGGAGCTGACAAGTTCTGAGATGCAACCTTTGTGCACATGTACCTGGATTGGTGCTTGCGATGACGGTGACTCCTTTGGGTATTTCTGGAGAGCTCATGGCCTCTCTGTGCCACTGGGCCATCCAGCTGTCTGTGCTTGGATCTTCACTTGGGGGACAGTGGATCCTGGAAGTCTGTCCCAACTGGGCCTGCTCGTCTCTCTGCAGGTGCTCCAGACACTCCGCTAATTTCACATGACCCCTTGACCTGGCAATTCCCAAAGGCAGCCTTCCCAGAGAGTCTGGGATGGAGATAGCCCGACGGTCCCACTTGTACAGGACAACAGCAGCTTCCAAGTGCCCTAGAGCACAGGCCCACATCTGAAAGACAGGAAGGCAGAGCCAGTGTCCTCAATGGGAGCCGCTAGCAGCTGATACAAGGTCCTCCTGGCAAGGTCAGTGGGGGCTGTTAGATAGACACTACCATTACAATATCTCTGAAAAATGCCTAGAGCTAATGAGGGGTAACAGTAGGTGTGTTTGACACTCAAGAGTTCATAAATTCACTTTTAATATGTCAACTTGTTAGGCTGGAGAGATAGCCCAGAGATTAGGAGCATTTGCTGTTCTTGAAGAGGACCTGGGTTCAGGTCCCAGCACTCACAGGGTAGTTCACAACCATTTATAACTCCAGTTCCAGGGTATCTGATGCCCTCTTCTGGCCTCCTTGGGCACTGCACACACGTGAGGCATTGTATGTACATGCAGGCAAAACACTCATATATATAAAAATAAAAAGTAGATAAACTTCATTAAAAATAAATAAATGTGCTGCAACTCATCTTTTCCTGTGCCTCAGAAAGGGTCTCATAGCCCAGGCTGGCCTTGAACTCACTGTGTAGCTGAGGACAACTTTGAACTTGATCCTTCTACCTGCACCTCCTGAATGCTGGGATTAGAGGTGTGTGCTACCACACCCAGTTCTGCAACTCACCTTTTAAGTAACACTTTCAGATCCCCTGGGGATCTGGAATCCCTTTGCCAGTCTGAAAAGAGGGTTAGTGGCATAAACAAGTCTGTTCCTTACCAGAGGAGTACAGGAGAAGTGGTCCACATTCAGGGGGTCAACTTCCAGTTCCAAATCAATGCTGTCCGCATGCTTTGTGCTGCAAGAATAGCACGAGGTTACCCCACATCAACCCATGTAAAAAGAAGTGTGAGGAAAACACCAAACCCATAAACAATGAAACCAAACTGGGCACCTGGCCTCCCTGAGGTGGAGACAAAGGATTCTGGACCTCAAAGGTCATTTGGAGTATCTGACAATTAGTATCTCACTCAGTATTCCCAGGGCAGGGGACCACACGAATCTCTTGCAAACTGTCCTGGGGCAAAGCCCTCAGTTCACAAGCTTATGAAGCAGAGTGAAGAAGCAGATTCCTCTCCCCTTGCAGAAGTACTCAGGAAGCTGGCCGTTAAGGACTAGAGACGGGTCCTTTGCACACAGACTTACCGCCATTTGATAAGGGTCTGGATCAGGGTGGCATAGCCCTGGGCAGCAGCCAAGTGTAGGAGGGTCATTCCACGGAAAGTCTTCGAATGGATCAAATGCTTGGATTTGGCCCAGCAGGCACGGCTCATCATCTTCTCACAGACAACAACCACTCGACTCTCGAAGCAGCTCCCCAGGGTTCCAGCACCAGACGCACACTAGCAGAGAAGGTACATGTTATGATCCAGGGGCCACAAGCTGTCCACAGGTCCATGTTTTGATGTTGGGGGAAAGAGACGCTTCATGACTGGCAACTCAGTGGAAAAACACATAACAATGAAAACAAAGAAACATTAAGAAATAGAGAAAGGAGGCTGGAGAGATGCTCGGCAGTTAAGAGAACTGGCTGTTCTTGCAGAGGACCTGGGTTCAGTTCCAGCACCCACATGGTGGCTTACAACCATCTGTAACTCCAGTTCCAGGGGACCTAGCAACCTCTTCTGGTCTCTGTGGGCATGGCACACATGTGGAATACTTTACATGCAGGTAAAACACTCAAAACACATAAAATAAAATTTAAATTAAAAAAAGAAAAAGAAAGAAATCAAGGGACCAGTGAGATGGCTCAGTGGGAGAGGCAGCTGCTGCCAAGCCTCACAACCTGGGTTTGGTCCCTGGAGCCCACATGGTAGAAGGAGAGAACTGCTCCTCTGCAAGTTGCCCTGTGGCCTTCCCAGGCGGGATGCACACACAATTTTGTTTAATGCACTGTTAGATCTGAGAAGAAACAGAAGAATGGGCTATTCTCAGCTCAGCGGTGCTTCTGCGTGGTTGAGATCATAGGTAATGTGCTGTAGTTATGCCAATGCCACAGTCTGTTACAGACGACTGCATGAGATGCTGATGTGTCTTGGGGGAAGGTGTGTCAATTTTCTAGCCTCCCTGGGGAAGCAAACAGCACAGCAATAAAGCCTTGTTTGGATCTGGGTTACCTGGATATTTGACATCCTTGCCTCTTCTGAAAGCAAGCTAGTCACTTTGATGTGTTTTCTCCCTAAAGAGAGGCTTAAAAGTCTCCAGTAACAGTTTTCACTTTTTTACAAAGTGAAAGGGAAACTAGGAAAAGTACGAGAGATCTGGACATCAGTAACCCCAGGGGCCCATAAGAAAGAGAAATTCACAATTTCAACCACATGACTTTCTTCCTATGATCCAGCAATGGAAGAAAAATCAAATCGAAGTTGGACCAGGCGAGGTGGTACAGGCCCTTAATCCCAGCACTCAGGGTGCAGAGGCCAGCCTGGTCTACATAAAGAGTTCTAAGCCAGCCAGGGATAGATACATAGTGAGCTCAAACAAACAAAACAAAACAAGAAAAAACCCAATCAAAGTTAGTAACCTCAGTAACCTGAGTCTCTGTGACAGTAGTTTTATGTCCAACACTCTTTCGGATAAGTGGCACTTATAGCCTAATTCACATCTCTGGTATTACTGGAAAAGTTTTTTTTTTTTTTTTGGTACTAAATACCATATAATCAAATTACTGCAGAAATACCA